CCAGCCTTTGTGCGCACCTCAAACTTTGCACCTCGTCTTGTGACTGCGTGCTCAACTTTGCGCACCGTGCGCGAATTTACGACCTTACATTTGAAGTCTTAAATTTGTTCCGCATTGAATATTGCAGTTTGCGTGCTGGGCCTTGTGTCTTTAGTTGTGTTGCGGCCCCGCCTTTGTACGCTACACTTTGCGTGTTCAGCTTTACATATCTAACTTTATACAGCAATAACCTTTCCGCGTTGAACTTTGCGCGTTGGATTTTCTTGTGCACCCAACTTTGCGCGTTGAACTTCGCGTGCTAATCTTTGCATATCCAATTCCTCCGCATAAAAAATTGCGCGTTCGGCTTTGTGCGTAGAACGTTCCGCATTATAACGTGCTCGCAATATAATGCAACTCAATTAAACTGTCAACCGATTGCAACTGCCACCGGCCAGACTTTGCAGCCTGAAATCTGCGTACCTCCATCTTTGCACGTCGACTTGTGACTGCGTGTTCAACTTTGCGCACAGTGCCCGAATTTACGCACTAATACCGTCGTACGCACTTCGGGCAGCATCGTTTCCCTCGAGCGTTCACGTTTCTTCACTGAGCGTGTTCGACTTTCCTTTGTGCACACCTCAAACTTTGCGCATCGACTCGTGACTGCGTTCTCGTCTTTGCGCTGCGAATTTATGTACCGTGCGTTGCGACCTTCAATTTGTTCCGCCTTTAAGTTTGCACAGATTGCAATTTGCGTGTTGGGCCTTATGTGTTGAGTTGTGTTGCGGTCCCAACTGCGGTCCCAAATCTGCGTGCTGTGGCAGCCTCCGTGCGCACCTCAAACTTTGCACGTCGACTTGTCACCGCGTGTTCAACTTTACGCGCCGTGCGCAAATTTACGACCTTGCATTTGTGATCTTAAATTTGTTCCGCATTGGACATCGCAGTTTGCGTGCGTTGTGTTGCGGCACCAACTTTGTACGCTAACCTTTGCGTGTTGAGCTTTGCATCTCTAATTTTATACGTTCGACTTTGCGCGTTGAACGTTCCGCATTATAACGTGCTCGCAATAGAACGCAATTCAATTCAACCGTCAACCGATTGCAACTGTCGCCGGCCAAACTTTGCAGGCTGAAATCTGCCTGCTAGCGCTTCACACTGGCCGACAGGCTAATTTTTTGCGTGCTAGGCTCCGCAAGCTTAATTTTCTTCCGCCTTCGTAGCCTTTACTTCTTCTGCTGTATTGCATGTAGCAGTAGCAGACGGCCATTACGAGCACCGCACACATCATAGCGCGGACGACGTACTACTCCACGCAATTCAGCGTTAAGCGACGGAGCTACGGCCCACTCGCGCGAACAGCGCGCTCTAGTAGCCGTAGCGACTACGTAGTAGTCTAGCGGAGGCCTTAGGCCAATCCGGCGTCCGTCTCTCCGTCCGGCGTCCTATGCTTCGTATGCACATATGCACATGTGTTTCATATGCACAAATGCTTCATATGCAAGCATATGAAGATGCACATATGCACATATGCGTGATATGCAAGCATATGCGACATGTAAGTTATACATCTGCAAGCATATGCGATATGCAAGCATATGCCAGATGCGATGTGCAAGCATATGCCACATTCGATGTGCAAGCATATGCGATCTGCAAGCATATGCGATCTGCAAGCATATGCAATCTGCAAGCATATGCCAGATGCGATCTGCAAGCATATGCCACATTCGATGTGCACGCATATGCGATATGCAAGCCTATGCGATCTGCAAGCATATACGATCTATGCTATGCTGTGATATGCCGTACGCGCTATGCTATGCTACGCTATGCCGTACGCGCTATGCTATGCCGTACACGCTTGCGACAGCGCCGTGCAACGGCCGGCAAGATGGCTCAGATATGCACATATGCACATATGCACCATATGCACATATGCACATATGCACATATGCACATATGCACATATGCACATATGCTTCATATGCACATATGCACATGTGTTTCATATGCACAAGTGCTTCATATGCAAGCATATGCCACATGCGATGTGCGATCATATGTGATCTGCAAGCATATACGATCTGCAAGCATATGCGATCTGCAAGCATATGCGATCTGCAAGCATATGCCAGATGCGATCTGCAAGCATATGCTGCATTCGATGTGCAAGCATATGCGATCTGCAAGCCTGTGCGATCTGCAAGCATATACGATCTATGCTATGCTGTGATATGCCGTACGCGCTATGCTATGCTACGCTATGCCGTACGCGCTATGCTATGCCGTACGCGCTTGCGACAGCGCCGTGCAACGCGCAATTTAGCGTGCAATTCAGCGTGCAATTCAGCCCACATGGCTCAGATATGCACATATGCACATATGCTTCATATGCACATATGCACATGTGTGTTTCATATGCACAAATGCTTCATATGCAAGCATATTCCACATGCGATGTGCGATCATATGTGATCTGCAAGCATATACGATCTGCAAGCATATGCGATCTGCAAGCATATGCGATGTGCAAGCATATGCGCGATGCGTATGCAAGCATATGCTGCATTCGATGTGCATGCATATGCGATCT